AAATTAAAAACATCAGATAAAACATAAAACAACCACAAGTCAAGTTATATGTTGGGTTAACTGGTTGTAAGCTGCCCTGAGTCCCCCTCCGGGGGTGAGAAGGACAGGATATAAATGTCTGAAATAATAAATAGTAAATAAACTGTGCAGCATGCAATTGAGACTCATTTCTTGGTGTTTTTGTAATCTTATCTATCTATCTGTCTGTCTATCTATCTATCTATACACATAATCTATTTATAGGCACAATAAAAGTGAAAATATGTATGTGTGTATGTGGCCAGAGTGTCCGCTTACGCAGACAAGCTCCTAACTTCACAAATAGCTATAGCTCCCCCTCACCCCGAGACACCAATGGCCCTCCCTCCAATGATGTTGCAGGGTATAGTGAACGCCATGGACATGTACAAGAGCTCTGTCAATCTGCTCCACAAACACCATACTGCCCACCACCCAAATGAAGGCTTTCATACGGGGACAATTTCATCTTAGATTTTATACTGGTGGGTTTTGAGGGGAATTGGCCTGGACATTTTGGAGTTGTGGGTACTGGGATTTATAGTTAACCTACCATCAACAAGCACTCTGAACTCCACCAAAGATGGAATTGAACCAAACTTGGACACATGACAAGGAAAAAATACTGGATGTCTTTGGGGGAAATTAACTTGGATTTGGGGGAGTTGTGGTACAACTACATCCAGAGAGAACTGTGAACCCAAACACCGATGGATCTGAACCAAACTTGGCACACATACCTAATATGCCAAAATTTGATTACTGGAGGGGTTTGTGGGGGGGGGGGCATGGACTGACTTTCCTTTCTGGGAGCTGTAGTTCACCCACAACCAGAGAAAATGTGATCTCCATCAATGATGGGCTTGGACCTAACTTGGCACACAGAATCTCCCCCATGACCAGCAAAAAATACTGGATGTCTTTGGGGAAAATTAACTTGGATTTGGGGGAGTTGTAGTTCACCTACATCCAGAGAACACTGTGAACCCAAACACCAATGAATCTAGACCAGACTTGGCACATATATCTGATATCCCAAAATTTGATTACTGGAGGAGTTCTGGGGAGAGCGGGACTGACCTTCCTTTCTGGGAGTTGTAGTTCACCCACAACCTGAGAAACTGTGACCTCCACCGATAATGGACCTGGGCCAGACTTGGCACACAGAACCCCCATTTCTAACTCGACCTACTGGAGGGTTTTAGGGGCTGACTCACCATAGTGGAAGTTGTAGTTTACCCAACAGCCGGAGAGCACACTGAACCCCACCGATGATGCATCTAGAGCAAACTTGTCCAACATAACAAACTTTAAGTAATGATGGCTTTAACCTGGCATGATGTGAGTTGTAGTTCACCCACAACCTTATGCATTTTGTACAATTTTAAAAATTGACTTTTTCAAATAACCTGGGGAATGCTGGGTACCCAAGCTAGTTCATAAATAAATATAGGAGTCTGCAATGAAGATTAGGCTCACTGTGTGCATGTAGGAGAGATTTATAGTTTCTTCCACTAGTTTTTTTTCTCTTGCATTGCCTTTCCCTCTTTACGCACATAAACACTCGCCCACCTCCTTTTTAACCCCCATGTAGCTTAAAAGAGGGGAAAATGCCAGGAGAGGTTTAAACTTTCTCTTCATGGGCATGTTGAGCCTAATCCACATCAATCCCTCCTATGCTTACTTGGAAATTAAAAGCAAAGAAAAGAAAATCAGTTTCAGCTGACTTTCTCCCTTGCACATTTAATGTCTTTTGCTGTTTAGCCATTCTTTGTATATGGAGAATACTAAGTGAGATCAGGCTTTTCACAACTGACTTTAAGAGCGCCTAATAGAGTGCCGCTTTGTTGACTTTTACGTTTTGTTTTGTTTAAAAGGTTTTCATAGCGTGGATAGTTTAATTGCCTTTCCATGAGAACTTTCCGTGTTTTAAACTTGTATCTTTGTGTGTATGTGCTTTTTCTGTGTTTGCTTGAACTTTTGTAAGTCCTCAAATAACTCTATTAGTCATATAGCTGTGATAAACCAGAAGACTGGGGATAGTTCCTTGGAAAGAGAAGAGTAAAATGTTGCAATGCAGGAGATCATGATGAGATTTCTTGCTGATTTTATTCAGAATTGAGCAAAAAGCATGCAAGATGGTATGAATAGCAGAAACAGCCAAAGGATATAATGTAACCAAACAATATCAAAGAAATCATGGGAAAATTATCAATATAACCATGATCCATGTATATGTTCCCAACACAGTGGCGGAAGAAAGTTGATTCTGTTTTACGATCCAGAAGAAACCACAAGAGGTCATATTCCAAGCAACTTTAACATAGATGAGAAAGAAATTGGTTAATTAATTTATTTATTTATTTACAGTATTCATACCCCATCCTTCTCATCCCGAAGGGGACTCAGAGAGGCTTACACAATGCACATACTGCAAACATTCAATGGTGATTATACAATTAACAAGTACAGACAACACAAACAGAGGTGAACACAGTTTCCCCCATCTTATTTTCGGCATCTTGGAGGCTGTGTTCAGCTCAGGCCATGGTGTGTGTGTGTGTATGTGCGTGTGATGTCGCTACAGCTTCTATGCCAAGGAGCTTTCCTCCGATCAATGTCCTTAAGGGCACCTTTATTACCTCCCTACTCACATTTCTGCTTTCGATCTGCTAGGTGGGCAGGTGAGCTGGGGCTAACGGCAGGACTCGTGGAGGTCTTCCATTCATAAAATTGCTATATGTTACATGCATGATGTCACATAGCAACAATGAGAAGTTACTTAAGCAAAGCTCAAAACTTCAAATATCTGGAATTATTTTCATACGAGTTTCACCGTGAACCCATCTCCCCATGAACTTGTGAGACCTTCAGAGAACTTCTTTACTCCCAAAAGGTGGCACTAGGCCTATTGTTGCCAATACAGATTTTTGCAAGTTGTTTCTTTTCCTTGTAGGCAGTCTTAAGGTAAATTGTCCTCTTGTCATTTCTACAGTTTTCAGTGGTGTTTGACATAGCATCAAGTTGTGTCTTCATTCTGTTGGGTTCCATCTTCACTTGTTTTTTCTATTCAGGTTATATACTTCTTTCTGTTTCCTAAATTAAAAATCTGAAGTGGGGTACATGATATGGAAACACTGTTTGAGTTTAGCTGATTTTGCTTAGCTGATTTGGTTACCCATGCAGTTGAGATAATTGAGTTCTACTCTTGGGTGTTGTTGGTTTGCTTTCCTCAACAGAAGTCAGGGTCACAGTCTGGGAGAGGACTTTGCAATATGACAGGGGGGAATTTTAGTGATTTAATACACTTCTATACCACTCTGAGTCACATTGGGCTCATAACCTCGTCAAAACTGGAAGTGGGCAGAGGCTACCTTTGGTTTGAAAAATATGTATTTTTTGCTTACTTTAAATAAAGTGATATGCAAAGGATAGACTGTTCCAAGGTTTAAAGGAGAATTGCACTTCTGGAAGGAAAATGTGTCCATGCTGTCATCAAAACATGGATAATATTTTATTTTTGTCTCTGGAATGGGTAGGGGTGCATGGTGCCAACTGTTGGATTAGATTTGCAAGGTTTTAGCTCTTTTGCTAGAAAAAAATAAAAACTCATTCAATTAAGAATCAGGTCTCCTTCCGCAGAATATGAAAACACTGAATCTTTTAGGTCTCTGAGATGAGTTATTGCAAAATAAAGCAAACAAGTAGTATGTGAATTACCTAACGAAAACCTTTACTACTTACAATTAAATACACAATAAGGGCACATAACATATTTACTCAAATCTAATTCTCACTTTTTTTTACTAAATTTCCTTACCAAAATTAGGGTGTGCATTAGATTTGTATAATATGTTTTGGAGTTTTGAAAATTGAGGTGTGCATTAGATTTGATGGCGCATTAGACTCGAGTAAATATGGGTACCATATATGTAAGTTGTCTAAGCCCTGGGTAACTAAAGAAAAGTTTCAAGTAATGGTGCTGCTCAGCAGAATTGATACCATGTTTAGGGAAGAGAGAGAGAAAGGAGTAATGGAACCGCCGTTGTACAGTGGGTTAAACTGCTAGCTGCAAAGCTGCTGACTGGAAGGTTGGCAGTTCAAAGCTGCGAGTTGGAGTGAGCTCTCGACTTTCAGCCCTAGCCCCTGTCAACCTAGCAGTTCTAAAGCATGCAATACAAGTAGATAAATAGGTACTGCCTTGGCAGGAAGGTAAAAGGGCTCCCCATGCAGATATGCAGACATGCAGCAACACAATCGGAGATGTCCATGGACAACAGTCTCCTCAGCATGGAAAAGGGAACAAGAGCATCTCCCCATGGCCAGAGCTGAGCATCGCTTCCAGACGCCGAAAATGGAAAAAGGGGAAGGCTTTTACCCCTGTCTGTGTTGTATGTCGTTGTTCACTCTGTGTGTAAAAAGGCATTGAATGTTTGCCGATATGTGTATTGTAATCCGCTCTGAGTCCCTCTGGGGAGATAAAGCAGAATATAAATAAAGTGTGTTTATCAGTGGGGTCAAACTTGTGGCCCTTCAAGTGTTTTGTTCTTCAGCTCCCAGAATTCCTGCTCATTAGACAAGTTCTGCTTTATGTGGTCACAGACCTGCCTGGAAGTTTCTATGGTCACATCTTCTGGTTACTTAGATACATGGGCACATTGATGATCATGTATTGCAACTGGCTGTATAACAAATGGGAATGATTCTGAAGAGAGAGCATGTATGTATGTAGGTTAGAGACATGCAAGAGCTCCTTACATTTCCTAAATACCTATTGCCCTACTAGCAAATGGGAGTAGGGCATGTGGACAGAATGCTTTGTTAATCAATATTTTCCAATACTCACACCTACATTAGTAATTGTAAAAACCACTATCCTAAACTTCAGTGATGATCCATCTGTTCTTGCTTTTATTATGCTTGGTTTGTAAAGACAGGCATGATCTAAATATTAATCATTCTTTTCCCTCTCTTTTTTACAGAATAGAATGAATTACTGCCCTATCTTTAAAAAATTGCAAGCTACAGAGGAACAATTTGCATTAAATATGTCACTTCTTGCTACTGCTCTCTGGTTCTGCAGGCAACTATATACATATATAGCTCATCTACTGAAAAGGTAAGTGTTGACTGGCTGGCGGTCATTTGTTTTTGGTCATAATACTTGCATAACTGACTCAAATCATTACCTATTCCCCTTAGTTTTCTATTACTTTTCCCCACAAGTCAAGTTTCTAATGCTCATGCTTAGTCCATATTAGGATCTTTTGTGTTGTTCCATCAGCACCTACCAATCAAATTTGTCTCATAAATTTGCTTTCATTATGTGAATATATATTTATCAGATGTTTAGCTGAAGTATTTAGCATTGAGAGAGATAAGCGGAGCCTGCGATTGCATTGCTGATACCTTCCCATTCAGATTTCTAGCCATTTGTGTCATCGGTTTTTCATTTTCCCTCACATAGACTGTATTCCGTGCTGATTGAAAATACTCAGAGTTGCTGCCTCCGTTTGTGGTAGATTTTGAAGTGACCCGTGGATAAGTCAAGCATCATTCTACAGAGGGGAGAAAGTGCCATCTCAGGACCAAGCCACCCCAATTTTTCCCAACCAGGCATTAAACTAGGCCAGAAGTATCACAGTTGGGGAGGGGAGTAGAAGAGGATGTCATTGCTTTTTTTGGGTTCTGTTAGGGATTCCTCATCTTTTGAAGAGGAAAGGGAGTAGGGAAGTCCTCGGGAATTGGAGGGAGAAGAAGAATCAGATGATGAGGTTTTACAAGAGCCCACATTTTTAGAGAGACGAAAAGAGACAAAGCACAAATGGTGCTCAGCTAGAATAGCTGCTAGAAACGCTGAGCTAATTGGGAGACACCCTAGCACCTCTTGCGTGGGGAATTCAGGGCTATAAATCAGAAGCAGGAGCAGTCAGCTTTCGCTGGTAAAAACGACTCTGATGCTGAAGTTTTCACTCCAATTGAACCTGCTTTGTGTCTGCTGCTAAGGACTTAGTGATCATTACCCGTTGACTGATGGAAGACTACTGTTTCTTTTGGGACTTTGTAAGAGACTTTAATTTGTGCCTGCATTAAGGCTTCCTTGCTTTCTTTTGCATTTTTCAATTGCATTTGCTTATCCTTTGTGTTTGCTGAAGTAAAGCATTTTTCTTTTACTTTCGACATTGTATTAAGGCTGTTTTTGAAGGGCAACTCAGGACAGGTTCTCTCAGGACAAACTAAGCCTCGCCTTTCACCACTCAGTGAAGGGTATGGTTCCTTTTAAGTATAGTACTTAGTACTGTGTTTCCCTGAAAATGAAACATACCCATTTCTAAGCATTTGTGCAATATAAGCCATGCCCCGAAAATACTTATTTACTTAGGTGATCTTCCGTAGTCCAAGATTGATGGTCTTCCAAGTGATGTGTCTTGGCACTGGATACGTAGCTGGCTGTGAAGCCCTATTCTTGACCTGCATGTTCTCCTGTAGTGAGGGCATTGGTTTCCAGGTGGATGGCGATCCCGGTTGGGGTTGGCTTGACGTGCCTTTCTGTTAACACGTTTCTCTCTTTTGCCCTCCATTCATGCCTCTTCAAATTCTACAGCACTGCTGGTCTCAGCTGACCTCCAGCTAGAGCGCTCAAGGGCCAGGGCTTTCCAGTTCTCAATGTCAATGCCAGAGTTTTTAAGGTTGGCTTTGAGCCCATCTTTGAATCTCTTTTCTTATCCGCCAACATTCCATTATCTGTTCTTGAGTTCAGAGTAGAGTAGCTGCTTGAGTTCAGAGTAGAGATGGTGGTCGGGCATTCGGACAATGTGGTTGGTCCAGCAGAGTTGATGGCAGAGGACCATCACTTCAATGCTGGTGGTCTTTGCTTCTTCCAGCACACTGACATTTGTCTGCCTGTTTTCCCAAAAGGTTTGCAGGATTTTTCAAAGGCAATGCTGATAGAATCATTCCAGGAGTTGCATGTAACATCTGTACATAATCCACATTTCGCAGACGTATAGCAGGGTTGAGAGTACAATAGCTTTATAAACAAGCACCTTGATATCCCTATGAATGTCCTGGTTCTCAAACACTCATTCGGAAAAATGCTGCACTCGCAGGGGTCAGGCAGTGTTGTATTTCAGTGTCAATGTTGACTTTTATGGAGAGGTGGCTGCCAAGGTAGCAGAAATGGTCAACATTTTCTAATGTTACACCATTAAGCTGTATTTCTGGCATTGCAGACAGATTGGCTGATGCCTGCTGGAAGATCACTCTTGGTTTTCTTGTATCACTATGAAAATAAGACATAGTGATACAAGCTGGGACATAGAGGGAGTCATAGAAAGTGAAATGCAAGAACTTTCTGCAGTGACAGCGAAGCCGAGTCCGAGTCTTCTTCCTTCTCACTTTCTGCCTCTTCCTCCTCCTTCTCCTCCTTCTTTTCCCCCTTCTCCTTCTGTTCTTTCTTCCCTTCTGGCCAGGCCAGGCAGGGCAAGGCTTCCTCCCTAAGTGAGTGGGAGAGGGAGTGAGTCACCGGCTCCAACAAGACCATGGTTGGTCTCCTCAGAGAAGTGAGGAGCAGGACGCTCTGCTCTAGGTCTTGTATGTCCTCGGGGAAAGAAGTAAAGCTGTGGCTGCCGTTTTACTCAGCATTATATTTGAATAAATACAGATTGTTGTGCCGTACTTAATAAAAACAAAACATCCCCTGAAAATAAGCCATAGTGTGTCTTCCTGAAGGAAAATAAATATAGGACAGTGCCTTATTTTCGGGGAAACACAGGATTTACATTGATGCATGAATAAGTTGAGCCAAATTGTTTGGCTGAATTTTCAGATGTAAATTTCTACAGTTATACATGAATAAATGCAGTAGTTTGTATTCAAAGTCATAGCCATGTTAGTCTCTTGCAACATGAGGAAACACACACACAGAGACATATATAGGTTTGTGTTTATGTGAAGTGTTTTCTTTAGTCATTCCAAAATGTACCTCCAATCAGCTTCCAACTACATAAATATTGTTTGAATTTTACCTATTACACACTGTAACCCTTGTTCTTGTTTGCTTGGCTTTCAGATGGAGCAGATACCTACAGAGAAAATTCACAAGTAATTGTTTCTTAGTATATATATATATATATATTTAAAAATGATTTAATGTCAAATAGATTTATATTAATAACTATTATTTGTCCTTGATTTAGAAAACCAAAGTGTTTTGGGCGAAGTTGATCTGCTCAGCTACTGTGCAAAAAAATGGAAAGGAGAAACAGAGCAGGCCAGACAGATGAGAAAGGTAATGATAACATTTGGAAATCTACAGAGCACAAAAATAAGATAATTGTGTATGGTTGATCAAACAGCGTTTATTTTGCCTGTTTGGAATTCTCTTATTTGAATGTGTCTATGTTTGTGGTGGTGCAGCAGGTTAAACTACTGAGCTGCTGAACTTGCTGACTGAAAGGTCAGCAGTTCAAATCCAGGGAGCCGGGTGAGCTCCCACTGTTAGCCCCAGCTTTTGCCAACCTAGCAGTTTGAAAACACTGATGATAGCTAAAGGATATATGCTTTCAATCTAATAAAAGCTGCCAGTCATATGAATTTCTGCATAGCTGTGGATAAAATTACTGCTTTTCTGCTGCTCAAAGAGGGCTAGAATTGTGTTAATATTGGGGTGCATTACAACATGCTTAGACTCGTGAATCTTGTCAAATTTAAGAGGTCCAATGTACTATCTGAAACTTGAAAAGTAGGAGACTTTCTGCACTTTTTGGGTTGTGATATCCCTTATTATCTATGACCCTAAACAGGCCAGTAGCCAGGATTTTGATTTGGGGTGGGGGTGAGTTTGATTTGAGGGGGGGCTGAGTTTGACTTCGGGGGGGGGGCTGAGGATCTACCCTAGCAAACCTTTTGTATCATTATCCCAATACCCCCGTGCATATGGGATATATTGAGCATAGTGATCAGATCATGATATGAATAAACATAATAGTTTAAATAATGTACCAGTAAGGCCTTCTCGCGGACCACCCTGAGAATTTTGGGTGGGGGGGGGGCTGAAGCCCCTCAAGCCCCCCCTCCCCCCAGCTGCATGCCTGATAAGGTATATACTATCCCTTGTGCTCAGTTAAAACCGAGTTACACTGTACCGACTATCCCAAAAGGTTTGGATGCCCGAAGTGGGAAATCAGGAGTACATCACCCAATCCTCTTCTACTAATGAATAGTGCACACTTGATTTGGAAACTTGACCACTCATAAAGATACGAGGGGCGTTCATTAAAGATTTCCCCAGATCAACTTCCTGTGGACTGAAAGCAATGAAACTTGGCACAGTTATTAGACCTTTTCTACATAGGTGCCACCTAAAAAGACACACTGCTCCCATCTTTTTAAGCAACTATAAACATCTCGCTTGTTGAAGTCAACAGATTGGCCCAAACGCCATGTTGTGACTTCAGAAATCAGAGTCTTAACATCTGCAAAATGCTTGCCCTTCAATAATAACTTCATTGTTATTGATTGTTTGTATTTATTAACTTAACTTACTATATTTGTATACCGCCTTTCTCAGCCCACGGGTGACTCAAGGCGGTTTTTATTGTTGCTGTTGGTTTTGATGCTTGTTTTATATATTGTATAATGCTGTTTTATGTTGTTTTAAATTGTTGTTATGCACTCTAGTGTGCTATGTTTTAACTTTGTTATTTGGGCTTGGTCCCATGTAAGCTGCCCCGAGTCCCTCCGCAGAGATGGAGGCAGGATATAAAAATAAAGTTGTTGCTGTTGCTGTTGTTGTTGAAAAGAGGTGGATGTCTCATGTTGCGAGGTCAGTTGAATAAGGGGGATGTGGTAGAATTTCAAAGCCACAGGAGCATGCTTCTGTTTGGGTAACATGTGAGTTGTGAACTGGTGCATTGCCTTTAATGAAGTCCCGCATACTCTGTGTGTGTGTATATGTGTGTGTGTGTATGTGTGTGTATATATATATGTGTGTGTGTGTGCGTGTGTGTATGTATATGTATATATATATAAGCAAAAAAGCACAACTTCCACTCATTTCATTTAAAACTGCACAGGCAATGCCAGGGTTCATGGGATGTGTTCTGATGGTTAGCTGGTCATCTCCCATTCTATTCCACTTTATGAGGGTCTTTCTTCATGATAGATGATCCACTTTCAAATGATCTTTAAACAGCTCAAACCAAGGATTTATTCCCATCCAGAATTCAGTTTTGTCTTTGTCCTTATCATCTTCACTCAAAGGCTTATGAACAGTTGCTTTGGAAACACGATGTGAAATACCTGAGAGAAGTCAGACAGGATAACTATTGCGTGCTGAGAGCTGTATTATACCAGATCTTCCGGCAAGGACTTCGCCCTCCATCATGGACTAAGGCAATCGATGTCCTAAAGGTATGCTTTGAAACAAATTATGACATATGAAAATAGTGGCTTTCTACTCTTATTCTCAAAGTACAGTTTTTATTTTTAAAGTTGGCTAATAATAAAAGTGAAAACTGATCTTGAGGGCAAACTCCATTATTCATATACAACCTACTTGTCCATATTTTCAAGGGGAGTGGATATGTTGAAAACTTGAAATAAAATAGCTCATGGGGGGTGTCATAATGTTTTTTTTATGAGGACATAATGTTTGACTTCTCAGTGCAGGTTTCAGAAACTTACATAAGTCAACATATCCATGGACATATGAAAATAACATGATGATCCTATGTTTTAGCGCAACCTTCAGAAGTTGCTGCACATGGATAGATTAATTTGAAAACTCAAATTTTTATCAAGATACTAGCTTCCTTGGCCTCAGTTTGGTTCCTTCCTCCTCCCCCCTCCACCTTTTTCTGTCCCTTCTTCTTTGGCTTCTTCCTTCCTTCTCTACCTCTTACTTTCCTTCCTTTCTTCTCTCCTTTCTTCCTTCCCTCTTCCTCTCCCTCCCTCCTTCTCTCCATCCTTCCCTATGTCTTTTTTTCCCAAATTAGTTCTTTTGTTGCTTGATATTTGTCTATTATTGTTATGTTGTTTTATGCTTTTAAATTGCATTGTGTTATTGCTCTGCTTTTAATTGTATGTTCCCTGGGCTTGGCCCAGGGAAGCCGCCCCGAGTCCCTTCGGGGAGATGGAGGCAGGGTAGAAAAATAAAGTTCTTCTTTCTTGCTTGCTTGCTTCCTTGCTTGCTTGCTTGCCTTCCTTCCTTCCTTCCTTCCAGTTGGACTGGATGGCCTTTACAAGCCCCGTCTAAATCTATGGCACCACTGGGCCGGCCCTTCCCCAAACTGAGGGCTGCTGAGAGCCAGCCAAGGAAATTTGTGTATTGCTTGCCTCTGCCTGGATTTTTGCCTCCCTCTCTCTATCTCTCTCTCTCTCTTGCTGGCATCGCAGCTGAGTTGGCTGTAGGCAATGGAGTTTGGGGTTGGCCTCCTGGCCCTGCTCCCTCCCTCAGGGTTCCTCTTTCTCCTAATTGTATCTTTGGAGCCCTTTCCTGACTGGAGCAGCTTTGCCAGGCTGTTCTTCTCCTGTGAGTCCTTCTTCCTCCTCTCCTTGGCTGGCTTCTCCACTGCCACTTTGCGGGGCTGCTGCCTTGGCTCCCGAAGCAAGGATGGCCAGCTCCTTTGCTAGGATTGCTTGCTTTTTTCCCCTTGTGCTGGAGGCGGTGGGACCAGGGCAGTCATTTTTGTGCATGCACTGTTACGTCTTTTTGCTTGTTTGGGGTTTTAAGTCCTTGCCGCTTTGTTTTTTGGTGGGTTTTTTTTTTGAGTGATGGTCACTTGTTGGGTTGGTAGGTGTCTTGTAGCCAAATTTGGAGTCATTTTGTCCAGTGGTTTTTGAGTTATGTTAATCCCACAAATGAATAGTACATTTTTTTATATAGATACTAGCCGTCCCTTACCACGTGTTGCTGTGGCTCAGTTTGGTGATCTGGAAAATAAAGTAATGAGAAAGTGTTGGTTTCTAATATATATAATTTCTTTATTCTTATGGGTAAACAGTATTTCTTCTTGTTTCTCTGTCAGTGTTGATGTAGCAATTGTATGGTTTGCCTACTCTGGAACATGCAATGTATAATTGTCCTTCTTTAGGGGTCCCTTTCAAATCTGTGACACTATATCTGTCATATATGTATATATGTGTGTGTGAATCATATCTATCTATCCATCTATACCTATGGCTGGAGGGCTTTGGTTATGTTTTCTTGCCCTGGTGAAGGGAGTTGGACTGGATGGCCTTAAGGCACCATTTCTCAACCTGGTAGTTGGGACCCCTGCGGAGGTCATAAAGGGGTGCATTTTGGTTGTAGGTGAACTATAGATCCCAGTAACTACAACTCCCAAATGTCAAGGTCCATTTCCCCCAAACTCCATTTGTGTGTATAATTGGGCATATGGAATATTTGTGCCAAGTTTGGTCCAGATTCATCATTGTTTGGCTCAACAGTGCTCTCTGGATGTAGGTGAACTACAACTCCCAAACTCAAGGTCAATGCCCACCAAACCCTTCTAGTGTTTTCTGTTGGTCATGGGAGTCCTGTGTGCCATGTTTGGTTCAGTTCCATCATTGGTGGAATTCAGAATGCTCTTTGATTGTAGGTTAACTACAAATCCCGGCAACTACAACTACAAAATCCATGTTTTTGAGTGATGGTCACTCATTGGGTTGTTAGGCGTATTGTGTCCAAATTTGGAGTCATTTTCTCCAGTGGTTTTTGAGTTACGTTAATCCCACAAACGAATAGTACATTTTTATTTATATAGATAGTTGCATGATGATTTTCAGTTTCTCCCTTCATACTGTTCATCTCATCAGAAATATATATCTTAACACTTGGGTTTTGTATAATTATTCCTGTTGTTCTCTTGCCTTTTTTCAGCTCCCAGAAAAACTTCTGTATTCCCAAGGCTGCAATTGGATCCAGCAGTATAGTTTTGGACCGGAACAGTACACAGGTCCCAATACATTGGGGAAGTTACGCAAATGTATCGAAGCATTAAAAAATCAGGTGAGTGGAAAGAAGTTAATTTTGACAATTGGAACGGGAAAGGGAAAATAATACACTAACACTGAATCTACCGTCACTATGATAAGATTTCTAATTGGAAAGAATACATTTGCACTTACAAGCCTGTCAGTTAAATGCTTCTCTGTAGCGTTTTTATTTTGGTGTTTTCCTCTAGAAAATGAACATTATTTCCTTCAATTTCTCAAAATATCATCTAAAGTGAGGTTTTCATATATGCAAATATGCTCAGCTGAAAAGTAGCTAAAAAAGGAAGGCTAATTGAAGCCATCAAATTGATTGATAGTCCTGGAAGAATACTGTTTGGCTGTAGTCCTGACATATTCTACTGAGATTTATACATTTTTATTTTGGGAAGGTACTCAATGACAGCATTTGTGGAAATGCTGAGTTTCTCTTTTAGTCATTTTCATTGCATTGTGAAGTATCCTCCTATTTATTGCTTCTTGTACAATAATAGTGGCTAATGATATTCTTTTTCAAATAATGCAGTATTTAGTTTGCATGATTTACTATGAAATATCTATTATAATGATACAAAAGCAGCTATGTGCTAATCCTGAAATTAAAATTTATTTTCTTGCCATGACATCCGCAAAGAAAACAAAAATAAACAACTGAGAGTTTTGTGTTGTTGAAGGCTTTCATGGTCAGAATTACTGGGTTGCTGTGAGTTTCCCGGGCTGCGTGGCCATATTCCAGAAACATTATCTCCTGATGTTTTGCCCACATCTTTGGCAGGCATTCTCAGAGGTTGTGAGGTCCTCTGGAAACTAGGCAAGTGAGGTTTATATAGCTGTGGAATGTCCAGGGTGGGAAAAAGAACTCCTGGCCACATTGATTAACACTGAATGGCCTTGCAGCTTCAAAGCCTAGCTGGTTACTGCATGGGGGAATCCTTTGTTGGGAGGTGTTAGCTGGCCCTGATTGTTTCATGTCTGGAATTTCTCTAAGTGTTGCTCTTATTTTCTGTCCTGATTTTAGTGGACAGGAAAATAAAGCCCCCTCAACCTCTGAGGATGCATGCCATAGATGTGGGCGAAATGCCAGGAGAGAATGCTTCTGGAACATGGCCAGTGATTTTGGCCATAATAACCTTCAACAACACAATATCTTGTTTGTTTCAAAACTTGATAGATTGCCCGTTTGGCTAGCTCCTTGATGCTGTTATAACGTTCAATGAACTGACACAGTTGAGAGGAAATTGCATGAGTTATTTTATACCTGCAGACCACTACAATTCACGTACACAAGTGGGACCTACAGAAGCAGTTCACGTAGACACTTTCCTGCTGCTGTGTAGAATGCTCTATTTGAGGTCCTAGCCTTCCATGACCTCTCCCATTTCATTCCCCCTCATCCTCATTTTCTGCTTCCAGACTTGAAAAACCAAATTCATTGTTTATTTATTATTTATTTATTTGTAATGGCTCTCCATGCAGTCATGCCAGCCACATGACCTTGGTGGTGTCTATGGACAACGCCTGCTCTTCGGCTTAGTAATGGAGATGAGCACCACCCCCAGAGTCAGACACGACTGGACTCAATGTCAGGGAAAACCTTTACCTTTATTATTCATTTGTAATGGCTCTCCATGCAGTCATGCTGGCCACATGACCTTGGTGGTGTCTATGGACAACGCCGGCTCTTTGGCTTAGTAAGGGAGATGAGCACCACCCCCCAGAGTCAGACACAACTGGACTCAATGTCAGGGGAAAACCTTTACCTTTACCTTTGGAACATTTACATCCCATCCTCATCTCCGAAGAGGGACTCTGGAAGGTTACCAACAAGCACTATTATTCTTATGTTTGATATCAAAGATGGTTTACTTTGAGTAACAGGCTCAAGAACTTGTTTTTTTGTGTGTTATATATGTTTTAGTGGATGGAAATCAGTGGTATTAAAGACCAGTATGAAAGATGGAACCTGTGCAACGCCCTCTTTAATGACAAAAGTATGGAGCACAAGTTATATGAAGGTGTAAAGTTCATGATGCTCTACCAAGTAATAGAGGCCTACGAATGCTTCAGCAACAAACAGAAAGGCTTGCCAAGGTTTTTTTACAACCTGTTTACCCGTGATACTTCCTCGGACCCTTTAAGTTATATGATGAATCATCTAAATTCTGGCGATGGAAGAGGTCTGGATCAGGTAAATATGTGGATTCACAATAAAACTTGAAAGATATGGAGGTATTTGAGAAAATTGTGAAATGTTTCAAGATTTGTGTATTATATTTTTTTAAAAAAATGTTTTTTGAACTACGTTCAGGGGAAAAGTTATTAGTATTAGGACCGGATAGAATTTTATTATTTATTTATTTACAGTATTTATATTCCGCCCTTCTCACCCCGCAACGGATTACAATGTACATATACCTGGCAAACATCCAATGCCATTGACACACAACATATGTAGACAGACACACAGAGGCTATTTAATATTCCAGCTTTTTCATGAGGGTATTCTGGCCACCAGGGGAGCTGTCGCTTCACCGTCCATTTGTGAAGTACTTCCTCATTCTTTGCATGCTTGCTGGAGATATTTATGGCACTATAAATTAGCCTCCCCGCATAAGCGGTACCTAAATTTCCTACTTGACAGATTCAGCTGTCTTTCAGGCTGCAAACATCAACAGCAAGCTACACAAATTGGTCGAAAGCTCACTCCAACCTGGGCTAGCTTCGAACCCATGACCTTTTGGTCAGTAGTGATCTTAATGCAGCTGACTCCCAGCCAGCTGCACCACAGTCCCTGATTTCTGTTTTAAAGCAGAAATCAATTATCAGAAAATATCGCTCCATAGCAGTGCTTTGATGACAGGTGTTAGGTTCAGGTATGATGTCAGTACACAACTGTCAAGTCGCAAATAGCTCCAACATTTTTCATATATTCTGCTTTCATGAGTGTCACTACATCAAGCTTGGAGAGTTAGCAAACTACTGTTTTCTGTGGATGCAAGAAAACAAAGAATTATCTGCACCTACCAACGGTGCCACACCAGAATAGGAATACCCTGGACTGACCAAATTGGATCATCACTTCGCCTTTCTTATCATAATCACTGCTGGATGGCCACCAAGTTCCAGAAGAGCTCCTAACTATTGCCAGGTGCCTTTACTGACCTCAACAAAAGCACCCGTGTACCCAGGGAGAAGGGCCAGAAGTCCGTGGACATTGTTTGGACTTTGAGGAGCTACTTCTGATGTACTTTGGGTTTTAGGGTGAACATAAAAAGCCCAAAGAGCATGCCAAGCTTCGAAGTAGTTTATGAGAATTAGAGCTGATGACCTAAATCACATACTGTTAAATTGTTTATAATCTTACATGTGAAACAGCCTATTCTGGTACAAGGTATCTGTGCTAATAGTAAAGAAGATGCTGCATGAAGATTTTCAACAATATGTGGCATGTAACACCTATTACCCTTCAGTATTACAGTAGTCTAGAAAAAATAGTTGCCTCATGGTGTACAGTTTTCTCTTACATCAGGCGAAATATTTAAAATACTTAAGCTGTACCAAATTTATTTTAAATATTATTTTAAATATTTATTTAAAATAGTGAAGACATCCGCCCTTGCACTTTGCAACTCTGCTGCTGAATATGCATAGCCAGTGTAGAATACATATCACCATGTTGAAACAGTGGATGCGGCTCCTAATGAGACATGGCACATTATCATGAGATGTCTATGCCCCACATCACTATTTAGCTGATATTGCACTACCTGAAATCTGTCGGGAAGTAGCAGCTTGTAATGAAAGGACCAAGGTATTGACATCTCTGACCCATCCTCTGTTTGGATATCAGCTAGAAAGCCAACACCTTAAATCAAGAATTAGCTTCCTAAGATCTACAGAGATACTTGCAGGAACACCTCAGCAAACGAGAGTTCAAAAGTGGCAGGTTAAAACCTGGAACTTCCGTCACTGGCTAACGCCAGGTGAGAAACTCACCTCTGGGTAACACAGAAGACTGGGCAACTTGGAAAGCAGTGAACAGACTGTGCTCTGGCACCACAAGATGCAGAGCCAACCTTAAGAAATGGGGCTACAAAGTGGAGCCCACGACATGCGAGTATGGAGAAGAGCAAACCACAGACCACTTACTACAATGCAGTCTGAGCCCTGCCACATGTACAATGGAGGACTTTCTTACAGCAACACTAGAGGCACCCCAAGTGGCTAGTTTCTGATCAAAGGAAATTTAGTATAGTGACAAGTTTTTAACTTTGTTGTTTTTATACAGTATAATTGTATTCTCAATTTGCTTCTGTCATGATAAATAAAGAACCATATTTATTTTTGTAGAAATCCTAACTATAGAAGAATCCCTTATAACTGGAATGAGATAAAATACAAAATATATTGGTCATTATTATTTTTTCCATGGCTTCCCATTTCTTCCATTTTTAAAAAGTTTACTTTTTAAATATTTTGATGTGATTTTGAAATAATTTCGTATTCTCATAGTAACAAACATACCATATATTCTGGCGTATAAGTACTTTTTAATCCAAGAAAATCTTCTCAAAAGTCAGGGGTCATCTTATACGTGGGAGTCGTCTTATACGCGGGAGTAGTCTTATACGTGGGAGTTGTCTTATAGAGTGGGTGCTGAAACTTTCAATCTGGATTGGAGAATCTGTGGTTGCTGCATATTGTGGGGGGAGCTCAAAAATGGCAGTGGCCGTGTCCCTGCCATATGCAGCGACTGTATGAAAGCATTAAGGGTGACGCTGTACAAGTACAGTAGAAGAAAATCCATTCATCAGGATTCATGGACTTAATGCGGTCCCGATGGTGAGGTGAAGGTGTGCCTCACCAGGAAGGTGTAAGTGAAGGGTGGAGCAAGCTGCAGGCGCCCAGGGATGGAAAAAAGAGATAAGAGTGTCTCTGGGCCCAGAAAAACACACCTCTTTTACCTGTCTGGCCCGCCCTTGTATCCTATTACCGTACCTCCTCCTCTGCCTCTCAGATCTCGCTCCTGAAGTGGTGCAGGTGTGCATGTGTGAGATCTGAGAGGCAGAGAAGGAGGTACAGTAATAGGACAATTACCATATTGAAATCAAATCTGAAGCTTTTAAAAATTTTATTTGGTGTGTGTTGGAAGAGGGATAGTCTTATACGGCGAGTATATCCCAAACTCTATATTTTAACTGGAAAAGTTGGGGGTCATCTTATACGCCCAGTTGTCTTATATGCCGGAATATACAGGTAATTTATATGATTTGTCAGTGTTGTCCTTTTAAAAAAAAATCTGATACGTTTTCCTCTTTTTTTTCTTCCATAGGTTGAAATGTTTCTCCTTGGATATTGTCTTGAAGTTAAAATAGTAGTTTATCGATTTTCTAAGTTCAGTTCAGAAGTTTCTCAAGAAAACTATTTGGAGGGCTATCAGAATGAAGTTTTTCTTCTAACTGAAGATGACCGTCACTATAACATTCCAGTTGCCAAGATAGAAAACTAATTTCCGATGAAGAATAGTGCAGTTAAGACTGTATGCCAAGCTTGAAACACAAGAAACACAGCTCAGCTAGGCATCCCAATCCAACTGCAATAGCCACTCATTGGCTATGAATCAGGCCATCTCTCAGCTTATCTACCTCAGAGATTTGTTGTTAAGTCCAAAACAATGTATATGGCACTTCCAAGTAGTCAACACAAGTATGCTTATGGACGAAGAATTTGACAGCATACAATCTGGCTATTGCTGAATATTCACATAGACAAACTTCTGTGATTTGGGTATAGTGACATCACAAACTTGTAAAGCAGTTGTTACCCTCTGTCTGAAGGGGGGGGTCTAGTTTTGTAAAAGAGTGGGGCCTAGGGATCTCTCAAGAGAGAATTCGCAGCACTACTACCAAGTGGAAATTTGCCGAAGTCTTGCGGAAAATTGATATATAACTGATCTGAAATGGTACACCATAGATGTCCTCTGAGACTCCAGATGATAGTTCTACCAGTCCTCATTTTTATTTATATCAGAGTGGGCACAGTGCAGCCTTCCAGATCTCACTGGATTACAGCTCTTGCATTCCTCATGATTGCCTGTTCTTGTTATGGATGCTGACTTCAGTAGCATCCAGAAGTCTGCACTTTAGACCAAATGTTGTGTCTACACAGAGGGCTACATCAGCCTTGTGGTTGCCTTCAAAAGGCCATTTGTAATAATAAGACTGTATAAATATATCTATGTTACCCTTGTGGGCCACAAAATGCTGTAGTGGGACAACTTCAGCCCATGGGCCTTGCTTTTGACATGCGTGATCTATAGCTTCTATTGTAGTCCTAACCTATTTGTTGGGTAAGCGGAGACTTACAATAGCCTGTATCCAAGTAGAAAAATTGAAACCTTGTTTGAATTCATGGATGTGGTAGGTAAGTGTTCTTTGAAAGTGCTGATTTGTTTTGGAAATAAGAGGTCTTCTTCAAATAACAGCTAATGGAAAATGAGGTAATGCTTGCCTGTTCACGTTGTACAGTATGTGTGGTTTGGTCTGAAGCAGGCATCAGAAGCGTTTTTATTCCTTAGTGAAATTACAAGAGTTTTGTTTGCATTTTCACATTTCAGAATTGCTTTTGTGGAAGAAAATGCATTTTGTGCCAAATGCATTGCAGGGTTTTTGTGAGGAAAAATCTTATTTCTGCAGAATACATTATTTTGTTTCCCAAAATAACCTTTTTGTTGTTGGGAGGATAAAAGATCTTGATCTTTATCTTCTGTAATGTTTGCACAAGGGTGGAAAATATTACAGAAGATAACATGGGGACAATTTTTCTAGCATGTACAAGAAGATTTACAAGTAACCTTCACATCCACAATTAGGAGAGTAGGAATATGTTGCCCACCAGTGGTCCGCAAAAACTAAAATATATTCCATGAAAAATTAAAATTTTAAACCTTTATTCATTTTAATGAATCCGTTGCTATGCGGGTGGTGCCAGTGGGTAGGATGTCAAGCGAGCGTGGCAGGCCTGGGGGAGGGCAAGCGATCAAGGTCATGTGTCATGTACTCACACCATCCAGCGTACACCAGTTGCATGCATTCATTTGTCTTGCTTGGCTGTGTCAGTGATTCTGTTTTGCTTTTTAGTTATTTGAAAGCTCCAGTAGTGGGTTGTTGTAGGTTTTTCCGGGCTATATGGCCATGTTCTAGAGGCATTTTCTCCTGACATTTCACCTGCATCTATGGCAAACATCCTCAGAGGTAGTGAGGTCTGTTGGAAGTAGAAAAAAAGGGGTTTATATATCTGTGGAATGACCAGGGTGGGACAAAGGACTCTTGTCTGCTGGAGCTAGGTGTGAATGTTTTAACTGACCACCTTGATTAGCATTTAATGGTTTGGAAGTGCATGGGGGAATCTTTTGTTGAGAGGTGATTTGATGTGCCTGATTGTTTACTCTCTGTTGTTTTGCTGTTGTAATTTTTGAGTTTTTTAATACTGGTAGCCAGATTTTGTTCATTTTCATGGTTTCTTCCTTTCTGTTGAAATTGTCCACATGCTTGTGGGTTTCAGTGGCTTCTCTGTGTAGCCTGACATGGTGGTTGTGAGAGTGGTCCAGCATTTCTGTGTTCTCAAATAATATGTTGTGTCCAGGTTGGTTCATCCGGCCATGAAATCCTTCGACAATACATTAGCTCCAGTAGTTTTACTGACCATGAGTCCTCAATATTCATATGAATTTTAAACTTATTTAATGATGATTGAAATTGGAGAGGTTGCAGAAAAAAATCCAGAAAGAGCTCATTGAATTTCAAAATGGTAGAAACTACAAGGATGCGTTTGAATCTGATTATCTTGAGGGGTGTTGTGTAAAAAAGCAATTTTTATACTAAAATTCAAGGAATCGCCTTGTGCTATCTTATTCCTTTCTCCACAACGTATTTATACAAACATGGGTTTTCTGCTTTGCTGGTAATTAAAAACAAGTCCAGGAATTGATTGAAAATAAGTGATGATGTTCGTGTAGCTTTGAGCAATAATATTAACCCCAGAATTACCCAACTTGTAAAGAAGATGCAAGCTCAAAAATCACATTGATTCAAACCAAATTTAATTTTCTATTTAAAATGTTCTTTTTGATATTATAATAGTACCGTATATTCCGGCGTTTTAGGCGACTTTTGAACCCTGGAATTTTTTTTTTAAGTTGGGGGTCGTGTTATACGCCGGGTACAGATTGGCGAAGGTGGAAGAGAACTTCCCTCCAAGCCCGCAGGGACAGCAGCGGCCTAGCGGCAGCCCTTTCCCAACCCAGCAATAATCGAGTGCCTTCTTGGAGCGAGGGAGGCAGCGGCGTCCTACCTCTCAACACCTCCACCGGGGTGTTGCTGGTTGTTAGGCCACTGCTGTTCCAGGACACCTCTCCTCCACCCTGCCAACCTGCCACTGTGTGAGCAGGCCTAGAGGAGCAGCTGCAACCCAGCAGCAGCTTGACGGAGGCTGATGGAAGTCCTCCCCTGCCTGCAAATGGCTCCTGGAAAAGTGGGAGAGGAGGCCTTTCCTCCGCTCTCGGCAGAGCAACCCAGCTAAGTCGCTCTGGCAAGAGAGGGAGAGAGGAAGATAAAGTGTATGCAGAGAAAGGGGGAAGGAAAGAAAGGTGCCCACGGAGTGAGGGAGAAAAAAGGAAAAGCACGCACAAGATGAGAGAGAAGGAGAGAAAGGCACGCAGAGGGTGAGGGAGAAGGGGGGGTGGAAAGGCACACATGGGGCCAGGGAGAAGGGAAAAGGGTACACGCAGGGTGAGGGAGAAGAAAGGTGAACGAGGGTCGAGGGAGGAGAAAAGGGCACGCACATGGCAAGGGAGAGGGAGAAAAAAGTGCACACGGGCGAGGAAGAAAAAAATAAACGTGTCTGGGGCAAGGGAGAAGGAGGGAAAGGTGTGCAGGCAGAAAGAGCAGAGGAAAGAAAGGTGCAAGGAAAGAGGAGGAAAAGACAGCTGGGTTGCTATGCAGAGAGTTGAGGGTCCTAGCAAGAAGGGGTGCGGCTGAAAGAAGCCCTTCTTTCAGCCTCACACCTTCCTGGCATCATCCTCCGTGGAGCAGCTGCTGGGCTGCAGCCGCTCCTGTAGGCGGGCCCAGGAGCGGAGGAGAGCCATCCCCAGGCCTGCGGAGAAGAATGGAGAAGCCTCCGTGCTGCAGACGCCCCCTGAGTTGCAGCAGCGTTTGCAGGTTTCAGAATGCTCTTTGATTGCAGAGAACTATAAATCCCAGGCAGCTCCCAATTTTCAAGGTCTGTTTTCCCCAGAGCCCCCAGTATTCTCTTGTTATTCATGAGAGTTCTCTGTGCCAAGTTTAGTCCAATTCCATGTCTGTTGGGGTTTCAGAATGCTCTTTGATTGCAGAGAACTATAAATCCCAAGCAGCTCCCAATTTCCAAGGTCTGTTTTCCCCAGAGCCCCCAGTATTCTCTTGTTATCCATGGGAGTTCTCTGTGCCAAGTTTAGTCCAATTCCATGGCTGTTGGGGTTTCAGAATGCTCTTTGATTGCAGAGAACTATAAATCCCAGGCAGCTCCCAATTTCCAAGGTCTGTTTTCCCCAGACCCCCCAGTATTCTCTTGTTATTCATGGGTGTTCTCTGTGCCAAGTTTAGTCCAATTCCATGGCTGTTGGGGTTTCAGAATACTCTTTGATTGCAGAGAACTATAAATCCCAAGCAGCTCCCAATTTCCAAGGTCTGTTTTCCCCAGACCCCCCAGTATTCTCTTTGTTCATGAGTGTTCTCTGTGCCAAGTTTAGTCCAAGTCCATGGCTGTTGGGGTTTCAGAATGCTCTTCGATTGCAGAGAACTATAAATCCCAGGCAGCTCCCAATTTCCAAGGTCTGTTTTCCCCAGAGCCCCCAGTATTCTCTTGTTATTCATGGGAGTTCGCTGTGCCAAGTTTAGTCCAATTCCATGGCTGTTGGGGTTTCAGAATGCTCTTTGATTGCAGAGAACTATAAATCCCAGGCAGCTCCCAATTTCCAAGGTCTGTTTTCCCCAGACATCTCAGTATTCTCTTTTTGTTCATGGGTGTTCTCTGTGCCAAGTTTAGTCCATAAATCCCAAGTTTAGTCTATAAATCCCAAGCAGCTCCCAATTTCCAAGGTCTGTTTTCCCCAATGTTCAAATTTGGGCATATTGAGTGTTCATGCCCAGTTTGGTCCAGATCAATAGTTGTTTGGGTTCAAAGTGCTTACTGGATGTGTGAACTACATCTCCCATTAATTCTTCCCAAACCCCTCCAGTATTTTCTGTTGATCATGGGGGTTCTGTGTGCCAATTTGGTCCAGGTCTGTAATACATGAAGGTCTCATTGGTCTGTAGAAGTAATTGCTGAATCGGTTCAAGGTACTGCAAATCCGATCATCTCTTGTCTATCGTCCCCCAAACATTGTTTTTCTGATTAATCACTATGCTTTAATTATGTTCCATTTGTAACAATGAAATCCTGCATATCAAATTTTACATTACGATTCATAAGAGTAGCACAATTACAGTTATGGATTGTGTGATTTTAATAAATCGATGTAATTGTTTTTAGATGTTTTTAATTCTTTCGTTTGGATCTCCCTCCTTCTCTCCCTCCCTTCACGAGGTGGGAGGAGGAGGCAGAAGAGGGGTGGTCTTATACGGTGAGTATATCCCAAACTCCATATTTTAACTGGAAAAGTTGGGGGTCATCTTATACGCCCAGTCGTCTTATATGCCGGAATATACGGTACTCTTAATTCATGTTACTATTAAGTTTATTATTCTTGAGTCTTGGTAGTCCCTGCTAACATCAACAAAAAATCAAAGCGGTCTCTTTAAAAAAAAAGTTTGGGAACCACTGCCCTAGATGCTCTTAGAGAATGCCTCAAGCAGATATTGTATTGCAGTATCACAGTGAAGCTAGGAAGAGTATTACTCCCTCCAAGGACAGAATTTCTTCAGGCTCTCCTGTTTACCACTGACCCATAATCTGAACCATAATCTGGTTATTGTTATAAAAAATCATTCAATTGCAGTTCTGAATATGATATGTTGAGATGTTATTTGCAGCAGTCAAAGAATGCTTACAAACACTGCATTTGGTTGGCTGTCTTCAGGACTAGACCATGGCTCCAAAGTCTAAGCCAAAGAAATAATAATAATAATAATAATAATAATAATAATAATAATAATACTTGTATTGTCGAAGCTTTCATGGCTGGAATCACTAGGTTCTTGTGGGTTTTTTCGGGCTATAGGGCCATGTTCTAGAGGCATTTCTCTGACGTTTCGCCTGCATCTATGGCAAGCATCCTCAGAGGTAGTGAGGTCTGTTGGAATTAGGACAATGGGTTTATATATCTGTGGAATGGCTGGGGTGGGGCAAGGAGCTCTTCCCTGCTGCAGCTAGGTGTGAATGTTTCAACTGATCACCTTCATTAGCATTTGAAGGCCTGCCTGAGCCTGGGAAAATCTCTTGCTGGGAGGTGTTAAGATGTGCCTGGTTGTTTCCTCTCTGTTGTTTTGCTGTTGTAATTTTAGAGTTTTTTAATTGGTAGCCACATGAAAGGCACTGCAGACTCATTCAACCAGAGAAGTCAGCCATAGCAGAAAGCACCTGAGGCGACCACCCACTCCAGCACCTTGCCCAAAAAAGGGAGGTTGGAAATTGATCAGTAGTTGATCAGTACACAGAGAAGCCATTGAAATCCACAAGCATGTGGACAATTTCAACAGAAAGGAAGAGACCATGAAAATGAACAAAATCTGGCTACCAGTATTAAAAAACTCTAAAATTACAACAGGAAAACAACAGAGAGTAAACAATCAGGCACATATTAACACCTCTCAACAGGGGATTTTCCCAGGCTCAGCCAGGCCTTCAAATGCTAATGAAGGTGATCAGTTGAAACATTCACACCTAGCTCCAGCAGAGA